GACCAGGGAACAGTCAAGTGCAAATATACACAGGAAAAGGATGATACTGATACTTCTAGAAAAAAGACTAAATTGCATAACACAAAAGACACTGAGAACAATAGCTGCCCACAAGGATTTACATGAAATGCAGACACCTATAGTTGCACATATGACAGCTTGTTTTCTATTCTATTCAATTTATTCAAGCAAAATAAGGCAAATTGGCAGACAAATGTACGCACACAAAATGAGCTGCTGTACAAGTTTACAGCTATGTTCAAGCAAGTTATGAAAAAATAAGCTGACCATGGAGGAGGCCAGAAATAAAATAAGATGTGAGCTTCACAAGGTCAGACCAGAGGTATTTCCTGTGGAAGGTAAAGATGGCACCAACATTTATGAGCTTTGTGCCACTATACTATCCATGAAGGAGGACCATATTTCCAAAACCTATATATGTTTACATTGTACAATGGAATTTGAGTCTGAGACTGACAAATGTGCTTTGATGAATATAAGAATGGCCTATATTGATTATAAAAACCCCATTTTAAATATATTTTGATGTTATGTTGTTGTGGCTGAAATGTGGCTGAAAAAATCAAAAAATCAAACTAAAGACATTATTATCTGGATTTGAAACACTAATAGGATTGCGTGAACTGTAATATTTTTCAAACACATTTCAGCCACATATTATTATATAGCCAATTGACAGGGGCATGTTTGTTCATGTAGGCTATTATTAAACTCAAACAATCACATTATCACACCTGATACTGTTACAATGGTCTATACTCCTATATCAATGCCTGACTCATAGACGATGAGCGAGGGCTTATGGACAGTGCGTCGTCCTGAAGATCGAGCGAGGAAGTCGAGAATGACCACTACCCCAAGTGAAGAGGAGCAGAGACTTGAATGAATAACCAGGTCGAACTTAGGGTTTGACCGACTAATGGTACAACTATTTATACAAGTACCGGCTACGCATAGACCATCGTGTCTGTGTGGTGTTTAGTAAAGAAAGAAACGTAGTGGCACGATACCAGGTACAAAGTGCGCATGGACCCCATTATGTAAGCTACATAATGTTCAACCTGCGGGTGAGCGCTAAGACAGGCGCCAGTATGGGTGCTAGTAATACAAGGAATAGAACGGAAAGACAAATGTTTCATTACCCCCCTGCCAGAGTCGAAGTCTCATTCGACTACTTACTGCTCACCATCTCCATACAACTCCCAGTCTACGCCGTCGTCCTCCTCTTCGTCAAACCACTCATTGCGCGCGTTTCTCCCCAAGTTCTTCCATTCCTCACCAGAGAGGTGCTCCTGACGCGGCCAGGAGCTGTCCCACGTCCATTGAGTGGTGTTGGGTGTCTAGTCGGGGTCGACTTTGTGAAAGACAATGGGTGTATCGGGGCGGGGGCATGAGGGTCCTGCGACGGGGCTGGCTGGGGGTTCGGGGTTAGCACTACGCGGTGGAGGGATGGGTACCGCCTTTGTCTGCCTCTCTCTTTCCTTCCTCTCCTTTGCCTCGTTGATGATTCCCTCGAGGAACACGTTGTCGACGACCACCCCCACACGTCGCGCAGGTTCTTCAGGTGGTGCAGATACATGTTGCTTCATCAGCCTGGTTCCGCACTCCCGCTCCAGGTGTCCAGGGGCTTCTTTCCCGCATCCTGCGCATTGTACGTCCGGACAGTCCCGTACCCAGTGTTGAGACGATCCACATCGCCTGCAACTTCCCTTCGGGGTTCACCCAGGGTTGGGTTGCCAGTCAGCCGGGATAGTAGTGCTTCGTGGTGTTGCTTGGAGGAAAGGGGATGGGATCGGGGGCCGCCTGAAGGCAGACATTGGTAGGGGTGTGGGTAGGGGTAGGTACGCGTTGGGGATGGCGCGCGGGATGAATTTGTTGTGTCGCACCCGGATGCTGTGCGGTAGGAGCGGTTGAAAGCGATGGGCAACTTTCAGATTGTCGAGTCGAATGAGCTCGGTGAGGACTCGGTCATCCTGTTGACGTAGGAGTCGCTTGTGGTGGTTGATGGCCTTGTCGGCTGCCTTGACAGCCTCATCGTATTCATGGCGGGCGGAGAGGTACGCTTCCAGTGCTACGCGGTCGGTGGCATTGGTTGCCTCGGGGTTGTGGGCTTTGAGTTTATTGAAGACGTCGGTGGGGTTACTGAGAAGTAGTGTCAGCAAAGTGCTGTTGCCAACATGGGTGTGCTTAGGGGTGTAGATCGAAATCCTCTTTCTGCCCTCGGTTGAGGGGGCATTGAACTGGTCGAGAAACGGGAGGGTGGAGGACATGTTGGTATGAGTGGGGGTGTAGCGACTGGGTTGAGCTGCTGTCGACTCAGCTCAAGTTCTTCCTTTTCTTATACTCCGTTAGCACGTCGTCCGCAGTCCCTGTCAGGTTTGCTTCAGGTTCCCATGAGTCATCCATGGTTGAGTAACCCTTCCACCTGACACGATATTTGTGGCATCGCATCCTCTTGTTCTCTTGGTGTCCGATGATAGCTTCGACTTCATAGTTATCTTCGCCTTCGATAAGGTCAGGGGGTGGCCTCATGTAGTTCGGACCATGGATCTCCGTCTCCGAGTAGGGAGATAGAAGCCATTCATGGAAAACGGGGTGGACTTGCCAGGTGCTAGGGAGGTCTAGCTTGTACATGACCGTTCCGATCTTGTCTAGGACTTTGAACGGCCCTTCTCACCTCGGGGCTAGTTTCCTGGACGGGTACGGCAGCTTCAAGTTCCGGGAATCTAGCCATACCAGCTGACCTTTACGGAAGGAACCCCCCTTCCTTTTTACTCTCTTGGCCAGGACATTCTGGGCCATCTCCATTGCCGCATGTGCTTCTTCGCGGATGTTTTGCAAGTCCTTGAGGCAATAAGCTGCTTGGGGCGTGTTTGATCTGGGGTGCGCAGTGGGTATTCCACGAGGTTTGTATCCCATCATGAGTTTGAACGGGGACGTCTTCGTTGTGGAGTGCTCGCGGGAGTTGTGAGCAAATTGCACGGTGTGAAGATGGTCAGCCCACTTATCCGGATCATTGGCAGTGAAGCAGCGGAGGTAGATCTCCAGCTCTTGGTTTACTCGTTCTGTCTCGCCATCGGTTTGCGGATGGAATGCCGTACTCATGGCTGATTGAACCCCAGTCATTTTGCAAAGTTCCTGGAAGACTTTGAACACAAATTGCGGTCCTCAGTCACTGATGATCTTGTCTGGGAGTCCAAACCACTTGTAGACCTCTCGGTACATTGCGTCTGCCGTTCCAAGAGCATCAATTGTTTTGTTGCATGAGATGAAAATTACCCCCTTCGTAAGGTCGTGGTCCACTACGACCAAAATGGAATCAAAGCCATTGGACGGTGGCAGGTCGGTAATGTAATCACACGAGAATGTGCTGAAGGGCTTGGCATTTGCGCAGGGTCGAATGGGGATGATGGGCGGTCGGGCTGGATGCGTGTTAACCTTCATTTGCTGGCAGATGCCACAGCCGTTAACATAGCGAGCGACAAACTGGGCCATGCTCGGCCACCAGTAGTCACAGCGCAAGCCGAGGAGGGTTTTCTGAACACCGGGGTGTCCTGCGAAGGGGAGGTCGTGATAGTGGGAGATGAGACATTTGTGAAGAGACTCATCTGGGGGTACATAGACCTGATCCTGGTATAAGAGGAGGTCATCATTGATGGACCAGTCTGTTCTAGTGCGTGGTGTTCCTCCAGTGCACGCCGCAGTGAGGCCTTCCTTCATTATTGGGTCGTCCTGAAAAGAAAGGATGGTGTCGCGGGTGTCGATGTCGATGGCAGTGACCCATACTTCCGGTGGGAGCATAACGACATCGGTGTTGTCATTAGAGCCATCATCATGATCGGGTCGGCGGGAGAGAGTGTCGCTCTGCACCATTTGGGTACCAGGAACGTGTACCAGGCAGAAGTCAAACTCGGTCAGTTAACTTGCCCAGCGTGCTTGTCGTCGGTTCATGTCTTTGGCTTGTTTCCAATATGTGAGGTTCTTGTGGTCGCTGAGAATCGTCACTGGGTATGGGCTGCCGATGAGATAGTGCCTCCACTCATCTAGTGTGCGGATGACCGCATATAACTCCCTGTTGTAGATGTCGTAGTTTCTCTCTGCTACATTGAAGCTTTGAGAGAGGTATCCGCAAGGATGCCAGTCACCGTTGTCGTTGCGCTGGCGTAGTACTGCTCCGGTTGCAAACTTGGAGGCGTCTGTTTCGATAGTGAAGGGTCGGTCGGGATCCGGCATGTGTAGTACCGGTTCTTCTAGGAATGCCTTCTTGAGGGTCTCGAAGGCTTTCTGTTGGTCAAATCCCCAGGTCCAGGCGACGTCCTTCTGGGTGAGAGCAACCAGCGGTTGCGCTTTGTCCGAGAAGCCTTTGATAAACCGGCGGTAAAAGTTTCCAAATCCAACGAAGGCGCGTACTTGCCTGAGGTTGGACGGCACCGGCCAATCCGCAATGCCAGCTAGTTTGACAGGGTCCATTGCGATTTCTCCTGGACGGATGATCATGCCGAGGAATTCGACTTCCGTGACGTTGAAGGCGCATTTCTCCGGTTTGAGGTAGAGGTCATGTTGTCGAAGTCGTTCGATAACACGTCGTGTTCGTTCTTTGTGTTCTGCCTTGTCCTGGGAAAAGATCAGGATGTCGTCCATGTAAATGCAAAGCCAGCCTTCTTGAAGCATGTCTGTGAATATTGTGTTCATCATCCGCTGGAACGTAGCGGGAGAATTACACAGCCCAAAGAACATCACTGTTGGTTCGTACAGCTGCGGTGGTTTGCCATCAGTTCCAGGTACGATGAACGCTGCCTTCCATTCGTCCCCTTTCTTGATTCAGACGTTGTTGTATCCGGTGCGGAGATCCATCTTCGTAAACATCTTGGTGTGCTTCAGCTTGTCGAGGAGATCCGATACAAGCGGGAGCGGGTATCGATCCTTGACTGTGTTCTCGTTGAGCAGCCGGTAGTCTTGGCAGGGGCGTAGTGAACCGTCCTTTTTACCAACAAAGAAGAATGGACTCGCCAAAGGGGATTTCAAAGGGCGAATGTACCCTTTACTCAGGTTCTCCTCGAGGAACTTGTCGAGTTCCTTTCGTTGCTGCGGGTTGAGCGGATAGACCTGTTGCTTCATGTCCGCGAAGCCCTCCTTGAGGTTGATTTCATGGTCATATTCGGTGTGGTCTGGAAGTCGCGCAGCCGTGGCTTTGTCGAAGACGGGGAGGAGATCGTGTAGGTAGGATGGTACCATCTGTGGTAGCATTTTTTCTGTTTTGCCTTGGGCGTTCGAGGCTGCAAGTTTGGTGGAAGTGGTGACGTGCCTAATGTCGTGGTGGATCTTCCAGATCATGCCATTGTGAAGTCGTTTGTAGCCAGATGAAAGTTCAGGGAGTTGCTCCTTGAGTGGAACGTCCCTCACTGCCAGGGGTTCCTGTTTCTCATACTTGGTGATCATCGGCGCCCCAGATAAGTAGGAAATGATGAACTCATCATCGTCGATGTCCTCCGCTTGTTCCTCGATGGACGCAATACCCGTTGACCCAAACCCATCCTCCCCACATTCAGTTTCGTTGATGCAGTCGGTTAGCATCACTGGTGGAGTGCTTATCCTTTCAAGGATGAGCTGGGCAACTCGGTCGCCGGCTTTGATGGTGAATTGGAGGTCAGAGTTATTGACCAGCAGGACTGAGACCTTGCCTCGGTAATTGGAGTCGATTACTCCTGCAGCGACATCAATTTCTTTTAGCGCTAGACCGGACCGAGGTGCGATTCTTCCGTAGTGTCCCTTGGGAATAGTCATGATAAGGTCAGTGCCGACCAGGCCTCAT